TAAAAAGAAAAATAAGCGTAGAGCCCTGGATACAGCATCTCAGTCTCCTACACACAATAAAACATAAGTTTGAATGTCCACTGAGGAAAGCGTTATCTTTGTCGTATCGTCAATATCCTTTCATCTGTTAAGAGTGATTTCTGATGACAGCGCTGCTCAGTGCATTTGTTAGCTGCGTCGTTGTTGAAAGTAAAAATAACTTCCGTTTACAAAAGCGTATTTTTCAATGTAAAAGTCTTTACTGTAGTACTGACTCATAAAAACACTCTCTTGTCGCCATCTAATGGCGGAACAATGTAACTAAAATCACCATCACGAACACACGCGCCATGTCTCGGTAATAAACACTATTATTAAATACTATTATTATTATTTATATAAAATATTATTTATTGAACAATCATATTTAATGAGAGCTGAACGGCCGCTGGAACTCACGTCTCCGAAAATGCCAAAGCAAATTTTCAAACAGACGTTATCTTTATTAACAAACCGCATATTTGACGTCCAAGCAAGCACATTCTCGCCTAAAAAAAACTCTTAAAACTGAATTTCGTGACACAAAACAGTATTATTTTTAAAACTATCGTGGATTTGGGCGTCCACCATGACACTCGCTGTGAGAAATACGGCAACTTCGGCAAGCGGAGTGATACTAACGGTGAAGAGGTCGAGGAGCTCTCTTGGACTCTAATATCGCACTCCTATCAGCCAATCAGATTCGAGAACCAGAAAGAACTGTTGTATAAATTCTGACAAAACCTGCATTTGAACATCAGTGTAAGAATCAGCAAGCATGCTCAATGAAACAAACTTCATAATATTAAAATACATGCAGTGTAAATTAAAAGGATAAAATATTATAATTATCTACCTTAGGACTTTATAACAATTGCATTTTATGTGAAATTGTTTTCAGAATGACGACTTCACCTGTTTAATTACAACCGATGTTCTGTTAAAATATTGACCAGAGAGAATGCTGGCTGAAATATTTTCAGAGTTAAGATGTTTAACTGTGTTTTTAAACCGGGGTAAAATAAAGCATAGACCATAGGATTCAGACCCGAGTTAATATACACGACCCATGTCAAAACATTTATGGTTGCGGAAGTGATTACTGACATAGAACAGATATAGTACGGAATCCAACAAAGCAGACAAT